CCCATGCCCCTTACGGAAGCCGGACTGGAAGGGGTCTAATCTGGCTGTGTCATGTAGGAACTGCTGCAGTTGCTCCACTACCACCCTCTCGATCACCTTTCCCAAAAATGGAAGATTCGAAACCGGGTGGTAATTGGAGGGAACCGAGCGATCTAGATCTTCAGCAGTGGAGATACCATGGCCTCTTTCAGAGCCTCTGGAAAAACTCCTTGCTCAAGGGAGCCATTTATTATGTTCAACAAGGGACCACATAATCCCTCCAAGCAAGATTTAACCAGCCAAGAGGGACACGGGTCGAGAGAACAAGTGGTTGATTGAACTGCAGTCATGATCCCGTCAACAGCCTCTGCGTCCAGCAGGATAAACCGGTCGAGGGTGGGCCCAGTGAGTGGCCATGGAGTCTCAAGCTCACTCACTGTATCAATTGTGGTGGGGAGGTCCCGGCGGAGCAACAAGATCTTGTCTGCAAAATAGCTCTGAAAAGCCTCGGTTGAAGGGGCCTGATCATTACTGTTTGGGACGGTAGGGACCATCGTCAAGGATCTAATAACCTTAAACAATTTGGCCGGGCGTGAGCTGGCAGACGCTATTAAGGAAGCATAGTAGACCTTTTTAGCTTCGGTGGTAGCATACTCATAAAACTCTTTAAATAGCTTATAAGCTGATCTCGCTGCTTTGTCATGGAGTTCATGCCACACGTCCTCTAGCCATCTCTTCTCCCGTTTCAGCGACCGCAATTCCTCAGTAAACCAAGGCGATCTGTTCTTGCGGGGTCAGAGAGGGCGTCTAATATAGATAAAATGCATAGATAAAACTCTGGCCTTGGCTCCAACCTTCCTTGTCAGTGAAGACAGCAGATACCTTGCCTCCCCTATGGCATATTTAACATACTTAGAGGTTCCTATTCATCGGAGGGCTTTCACCCTGGCCCGATGCCACGCTCTCCCATCAGCTGTACTCGAGGGCCGCTACCGGAAGATCCCTTTCCCAGAGAGACTCTGCCCCTGTGACTCGGGTCATGTGGAAACAATAGAACATGTGCTCCTTCAGTGTCCGTTCTACAGGGATACCCGTGCCAGGCTTATCTTACCTCTGATAGACAAGCACCCAGGCCATTCAGGACAATTTTATACCTCCCTGCTACTTGCGGATACTAATTCAGCTACAACCTACAATGTCGCAAAGTTCTGTGCAGCAGCATACAAAATCCGCCAGGGAATGACTAGTTCCAAAAGTCAACTGTGTGTCCAGTAA